ACATATATGAAGCCTCTGGCTTGGGGTATGGTATCTGGTGAACACTCCACAAACACCTATCATTATTATTACTATTGTATTATTACTGCTAATGTTGAGATGAGCAGAAAGCGAGGTAGGAATGGGACATCCATGGTGAGAAGCACAGGTATTCATTATGCAGTTCTGAGTGAGTACCAGGCGTCAAACAGGACAAGGAAACACAGACTGCTTGTAACTGATTAGTTAGCTATCACCACACTAATGCTGCGTAACAAACACCACCAAATCCCAGCGACGTGCAGTGAGAGGCATTTATTTCGCTACCCAGATAGTGGCTGAGCTAGGCTCTCTCTTCACTGAGGTGTGGGCTCAGGGAGGCTGGACATGAGTTCATTCTGGGGCCAGGCTGCGGGGGCAGTGGCCACCTTCGGGGAGCTCTTCTCCCAGTCATGGCAGAAACATGCAAGGCTCTGAGTCCTCGGCTAGGAACAAACACGCTGTCACTTCCGCCTCACCCGAATGGCCAAAGCTGGTCACGTGGCTGGACCCAAACAAAGGACGAGGAACATAAACCCTGTCTGTCCCTTGAGTGGGAGGAATGACGATGGTGCGTGGCTGAGGGTATGGACACCGGGAGGAAGGAGGAATTAGAGCCTCTGATGCATGTGCCCCGATAACCAAACAGCAGCCACACCCTGCCTCACACTGCCTTGCGCTGCTTGCCTCACCAGCTTCCTCTTCAGCCCCTGCCTCACCAGCTCTTGGTCAAAATCTGGGAGACCCTTAGCGGTAACATGTGTAGGCCTTGGGGACCCTAGCCCCACCTTCCCAACATCTGGACCTGCTCCAGGGAGCCATTCATCTCGGGCAATTTCTTTCCTCACTTGATTTGTTTATTTAAGGAAAACAAGTTGCTCCTAATTAGAAACACTGCTGTCGAGATGCGCGGCCCATCCCAGGCTGCCGACGTGCAGACCTCCTGCCTGAACTGATACCTGCGCTCTTAACATCTGCGCGTTTGCTCAGCAGCAGTCCTCAGGTGCAGGCTTCTGGCCACAGCGACTGGGGCTGCTGCGGGGGTTGTGGGAGCCGGGGGCAGGGGAATACACCGGCTTCGGGGCTAAGGCGCAGAGAAAACGAACACGCAACATCCCGGCGCGCTGCTCAGAGCCGGCACCGATCGCTGAGCCAACACTCGGAAGGTGCACAGCACGAGCACAGCTCAAACCTGAGGAGCAGGCGGAAGAGTCGTTGTAAAGGTTCGGAAACGTTTTCTGCTTGGAGTCTCTCAGTTGTGTTTACACACACACACACACACACACACACACACACACACCTTTACCCCCCTATGGATACTTAGATCTGCAGAAATGCACATCTCGGAAACACACACATACACACATGAGACATGCACAAAAGTGACAGGGTCTGATAGACAAGCAAACATGCTCAGAAACATACATGGCCACCCAGAGACATGTGAGAAAGTACAGTGCAACAGGCCAGGTACACACACTCAGAAACATGCTCATACACAAAAGTTACACTGCAACATCCCCAAACACACTTTGAGAGACATTCACATACACACAGAGACACACTCAAATGTACACTGGAACCAACACACCCAGATACCAACACCGGGAAACTCACACATACACATAGAGATACAACTGAGCATGCAATGCTACACACAGGCACAGACACTCAGCAACATGTGTGCGCACACAGATGCTCAAAAAGTGTACACTGAATACACATATGTGCACACCCACAGAAGCACGTGTATACTCAGAGACGCAACCAAATGCACCCTCTAACACTCATAGATACACATGCCCTGAACATCATACATGCTCACAGAGACAATCACAGAGGTTATACCATGACCAACAGATGCACACACTTACACAGAGACAACCAGGTGTGCAGTGCTATACACACGTATGCACACAGAGACATGCACAATGTACACTGGAAACCATGTAGACAGATATGCCTGTAAGTGCATACCACAGCTCACACTCACATAATCAGTGCACACACATATACACTCAAAAGCACCCACATGGACATGTGCAGACAGCATGGACAGCTAGCAGAGCGTGCACCAGGCAGACCTGCACAGCTTCTCAAACACAAGTATTACCGCACAGACCCACACAGCACATGCGTGCAGCTGTGTAGCCATGCACCTGCCCAGTCACAGAGACACATCCAACTCACATACAAACAACTGCTTAACACTCACAAGTGCACACGCACCCTGCACTTGTGCTGACTCACACAGGCACGCGTTCTCTTGCGGGCATGCACACGCACACGTAACTCATCAACCCATGTTTATGCGATCTCCTAAATACACACTCATATTGACACTGTTCTCACATATGTGCACATACACTAAGGTTTTTATGTCAGCCATACTCACAATGAGCACATGTGCCCCAAACCTGCATGAGAATATACACATGCGTCTACACACACACTCACATCCTACTCCACCAGGAAAGCAAACTGTTGATTTTTTCAGGCAAGCCCACAGACTGAGCTAGCCCACGGCGCACTGCTCCTGCCCAGTCCCTACTGCACGCCCATGAACTCACTCGTCAGCAGAGATGAAGTCTGCCTTCCCACAGTGATTTCAGCCTGGGCCCTGGGGAACCCTAGTTTGGGGAGGGACAGATGTCCCAAGCCTCAGAACCACTCAGCACGAAATAAGACTGACCAATCTTCTGCCTTCCCCCACAATCTCAGCAACACCCCGTCCCCTGCCTACACACACACACACACACACACACAAACACACGGAAGGCACTTTCCCCAGCATGGCTGTTCCTGCAGGGAACAGCAGCCTCACCAGCTCAGACAGCCTCAGCAGACAGTGCCTGACACCCAGACACACCTACTAACTTCTCTGCCCTGGGTCCCTACATAGCTGCAAAGTTGAAGCCATGGAGACAGCTTACCTCCACCTCCTGTTGTCATGGTGACACAGCAGCTGGATGCCTCAATTCCTCCCCAGATGGCCCTGGGCTCCCCACTAGGAGCTACTGGTCCAGCCATGCTTTTATGAGGCAGCAGCGAAGGGGTGGGGACTGCAGGTGCCAGGTGATTGCAGAGGACAAAGGCCCTGCCCCCCAGCCAAGGATCACCTGGTGCGATAGGGCCAGCCCCTGGGGGGAAATAGCAGCCGGATGCCCATGCACAGGACCTGAAAACAGGGCGCTCTGCTGCTGGGTGTGTGGAGCTCCACTCCAGTCTCCGCTCCATACACTAAGTGCTTGCATGCACCATCTCAGTTAGTCCTCCCAACAGCCTTCTGGAGCCGGAACTATGAGCTCCCCATTTACAGTGGAGGGAGCGAGGTTTGGAGGGTGGAGTGTTGGTTAAATGCAGAGGTGTCCAAGTCCCAAGCCTCTTAAATTACACCAACTTTTGGGATTTTGAAAAATCTCATCTGTAATAATTGCTCAGGGTCATAGAGTGCCTGAACTGGGACTTCTGAGGATCCATGAAATCTCTTCCTTTTACAGAAGCAGCTATGGAGGCCCAGAGAGGTCTAGCGATTTTCCCAAAGTCACACAGCAAATTGAGGGCAGACTTGAAACTGAACCAGAGATGGAGTTCCTGACCCAGAGATGGGGTTCCCCCAGGACATCAAGAACCGGTCTCTGACGCTCTGTAAGAATACCAGGGTCTCAGCAGCCTAGGGAAGCAACTCCTAGGCTGGCCCCAGGTCAGAACCCCAAGCAAGGGCAAGAGGTCCTCAGACTCCCACCTCACGCCTCAAACACTTTCCAAGAACCACGCGGCAATGCTATTCCCCAGAGACAGCCTCTGGCCCCAGCAGGCGACTGCAGGAATATGTCCCACCTTCTGGTCATGGCCAGAAGCAGGTCCACAAACAGTCCATCGAGAGGACCCCAGCCTTAGGCTGGAACCTCAGTGAGGCAGCACAATGCCTTCTAGAGGTCTGTGGCCGCAAGGGTGGCTCCAACATGATCCTTGGAGACTAGGTGGCCTCTTTGAATCATGCTTTTCATTAGGAGGAAAAATAATCTGGCCCAACTCGTGAGCTATGTGCTGGCCTCAGCACAGCCTCTAGGGACATGGAGCGTGGGGGGACCACCCACATCCTCAGAGCTGGGGGTGAGCATGCCAGGAGTCCTTAGACAACTGTCCATTCCAGCTCCTTTTTTTTTTGCAAAAAAGTTTGCACCTCCCCAAGCTCCAATCTGAATGGTCTCATTGAATGGCCCAGGAAACTTGCCCCAAATCTTTTGCTCATCTAAGGAGCTGCAAGGAACGGAAGGTGATCCCCGCCTCTCCTAGTGGCTCTGCCAAGGAGGTAAGTCCTCTCCTGGGATGACACTCGGGGTTTGGATGGAGGTGATCTGACTGAACTGAATGGGTCCCCCTGCCCTTCAGTTCCCTCTCCCTCTCCTTACACACACACACACACACACACACACACACACACACACACATACACACACACCCCAGAATGGACACAGGCAAGCCTGCAAAGCCCTGGACGCAAAGCCCATCACCTGGGCAGCCTGGATGCTGGCTCAGATAACGAGGAGCCTCCTCCACCAGAGTATCATCCCCAACGAATACCTTTAAAGCCAACTGGAAAATATGACCAGTGCTTCCTCCCTCAGAACTCGGAACTGCCCAAGAAGAGGGTGGGTGACTCATGAATCAAATGAAAAGGGCCCGCTGCCTTCCTCCTGGCCCAGCTCAGCGGGAGAAGCCCTCGAGTGCCTGCCTTTGGGGACCCGCAGGATGTCCAGGGAAAGGCTGCCTGGCTGAGCCAGAATGTCCCACCCTCTGCCAGAGGAGAGAAAGTTTGTCATTTACCCGGAGCTGGGCTGTCACCGCTCTGGGTTCTTTACTCACCTGGCTCTGGGCGCTGAACCCCCAGCCTGCGGAGAAGCGGCTGGAACTGGAAGCTGGATCATTTCGCAGAGGCTCCCCACCCTCTAACCCGCTTCGCGGCCCTCAGCCCTTACCTGCGGGGGTGTCAGCCACTTGCAAACTCTGCCAGCGGAGCCGAGCAGGCGCCTGGGGTCTCTCTCAGAGACTCCCTCGTCCCGCTTGGCGTGCCCGCTCTGTGGGCGCCTTCCCAGCTGCCAGCTGCTGCAGTGGCATCAAGGAGAGCGGAGTCCAGATTTCCTTCCTCGCGGCCACGGCTCCTCCAGCCGGGCTCGGGGCTATTTCTCCGGGGCTGGTGCAAGGGGCATCCTCCGCCTCCAGCGGGAAAGTGAAGTGTGCGTCCTGGCTTGCAGCAGCGGCGACAGCGGTGGCCGGAGACCAGGAGGGGTGGCGACGCCAGCCGGCGAGCTGGGGAGGCGGGCGGAGGCGAGAGGAAGTGAAAGCCCGGC